GACCGAACGTTCGTACTACACGCTGATTTTGTTCAAATAATGCTTGAAATTAGTTCGTCTTCACGGAAGTTCGCCGAACAGGAGTTCGTCGTAAACGAGTAATTTTGACTTGATGCGATGCCTGGCCAACCATAGGATTGGCCCTAGTTCGTACTAATGGAAAGGTCGCTTTATCAGTGTTCGTACTAACGAGGTTTGACTGTATTATAATTATAGTGCAGACGGTGTTAAGGCTGTGCTAGGCAGCATCCATTTACCTGTCAGAGAACTTGAGACCGTCCATGAACAGAACACTCTGGGTGTAGGCCAGGATTAAAGCATTGAGTGCCAGAATCTTGAACATCTGCAACGTTGTCACCAGCGTGCAGCGCCCTTGCTTGAGAATATGCTCAACTTCACACATGACAAGTACACACGCACAACACACACACACACACACACACACACACACACACACACACACACACACACACACACACACACACACAATGCACAGAACAAACACACACAATAAACAAACACACACACCAAACACACACACACACACACACCAAACACACACACACACACACACACACACACGTACAGAAAAACACACACATCAAGTCATGTGTACAATAAATGAATGTGTCTACATTCTAATCAGTTGCACTGTAACGATTGCAGCATGCACGGACAGTTACTGTCACTTAGAAAGATATGATATAATGTACATGATGAGCAGCAGTGTACAGGCACAGGTACAGGTACGGTGTTCCAAAGCACACAGGGTGGGCAATGCTTCCAAGCAAAGGGTGGTACACTATAGTAAGATATGGCCGTACTACAGAGATTGTGATGATCAACCACTGCACTACATTGTAAGGCACTTACTACTGATTGGGGAGTTGTACTTGGATGTGAACGGAGATGCAATGGATGCATCGCCTAACTTCACAACAGTCTGCTGGTCCATCTCATCGACCTTCTTCATCAATTCACTTAGTTTCTGAATAAGGAAATAAGACCAGACACAGGAAACTTCAACTGAGCATGCAAGAGAAAGCGGCCAGTCTATAATTCTTGAATGTGCGTGCTGCACTCAACAACATTATGGTATAGAGTCTTGATGGTGTGTACAGAAGACTATACCGTACACCCTAACCAGTCTTACACGGTTAAAGGTATAGGAACGTGACAGAAATGTGAAAATCACAGGCATGCACATACACTGCTGCAAAGAAAATCACCTTCTGCCTTTCAGCATTTCTATCAAGGGGCGCTGCAGACGCTGCTGCTGAGTCACCTCTAAGCGCTCGGCGAGATACAATGCGGGTTGGGACAGGGCGATTGTCTGCTGCAGCAGTCCTGCCATCGTCTCCCTGTAAAGCAAACAGAATGCAAAGGAAGCAGTGAAACAATTAAACCACAGAGTGCTGCGGCAGTCAAGCAGTTATTTATACTTGTAGCTTCCTATCTTCACATCTCTCTCTCTCTCTCTCTCTCTCTCTCTCTCTCTCTCTCTCTCTCTCTCTCCCTCGCACGCGCACACTCACACACGCACACACACACACACACACACACACACACACACACACACACACACACACACACACACACACATACACACACACACACATACACACACACACACACACACACACACACACACACACACACACACACACATACACACCGTGTTTCATCCACAGTACATTCAAAACTGGCTGGCTAATACCTACCTGTGGTGGATCAACACTACTTTCAGCAACCTTCTTCTTGGATTTGGATGGCACAGGATTGGCAAGCAGTGCAACACCTGAAACAATACAACACACACACACAATGCATACACTACTGCTGAGCACTGGGTCAAGCAAGAGTCCGTAACTCCCACCCCCATCCAACACTGTGTAAGTCTGCATTGGGTTGTGTTGCAGCAAAATCCAAATACTAATCATTCAAAGGCTGGAAGGTACCTGTTCAGTTGCGATCTGCTTTCTCTTCCTCTCCAGTTGTGATCAATACCATTGCGGTCATACGGTCTGTTCTCTGTGCTTTGACCTTAGCTCCTGGCATCATACTGTATCCATAATAGATGTGCTCCGCTTGGGTGCACCTCGATGCCTCATGTAATATCACATTTGTGCAGCGGGCTCCGATGTAGGTTCCGCTGGCGTCAGTTTCGCTGAGCCAGCTTTGCATAGTGGAGATTTCCGGTTGTGTTCTTGTGCGTGCGGCATGAGGTTTCTAGCTGTACCCTTTTGTTTGCTTGCGCTGTAATGCATTGTCAGAGTTGTATTAGTAGTTCTTGGAATGAAAGAGTCGGTTCTACTCAGGCTGTGTTTACATGAGAATTTTCAACCCGGGTCGAGTTCAGCCCGGGTTGAAAGTCTGTACGATAGACAAAAGAGGTGAGCGTTTACATGAAGACAGTTGACCCGGGTCAAATACTGATATGCCGCCAAAAGTCCACTTCTACAGTCCTGTATGGTCACGTGAATCCGTTCGCGCGAAATTTGCATCTGCAGTGCTGTTCAAACCTGGCGCGAGATACGCATAGAAGTACGTTTGTACGATTTTCTTGACCCGGGTTGATTTCAACCCTCCCCTTGGGGGGAGGGTTGAAATCAACCCGGGGCGAAATTTCAACCCGGGGCGAGCGCAATGCGTCATGTAAACGCGCCATTCACTTTGTGTACATGACGGGTTGAAATCTGACCCGGGTCGAACTCAACCCGGGTTGAAACGCTTCATGTAAACACAGCCTTAGTCTTGGGAATATACAGTCTTCTGCGCCAGTGAGTGCCCGTGACAGAACAGTACTGTTACTAATTTCCACAGTGGAAATTGGGTGTAACTGCTCGTTGATTACTTCACCAACACCAACCAGAACCCGCAGCAGACGTGCATGCACTCGTTGAGTGTCCATGATAACAGTTAAGGTATCCAGTGCAGAACACACAAACACACAAACACACACACACACACACACACACATACACACACATATACACACACACACATATACACACACACACATGCACACACACACACATGCACACACACACACACACACACACACACACACACACACACACACACACACACACACACACACACACACACACACACACACACCATGTACCATGTATACGCCCGTCGCAAGAGAAGCACGCACATCTGCAAATGCACTGGATATTGCACCCACAGATTTTCTCTTTATAGCAACGATAGCGGATCTGATTCTGACTGAATCAGATCAAGACAAGCGCCAGATAACTGTCCAATCCACACGACTGGCGAAGCCATGTGAATCGACCCCCAATGCACACCTGGTCTACACCACACGGAGTACATCGGAATAGGACGGCCAAGACAGTTACCTATGCACACCCTACACTTGCTGGGGTAACCAGGATAGACAGCACGCTGCTTTGATAAAAGCAGACACTAGATGCACTGGTACCTTGAAGTGAAATTGGAGTTATTTTACCAACCAGCCTCGGCAACTGGGTACTGGGAACCCAGGGCCAACAGAGGTACCAACAACCTCAGCCATGAAAGCTATATAGTAACGACACACTGGATTGTGGAGCACACACACACACACGCACGCACACACGCACTTACACACACACACACACACACACACACACACACACACACACACACACACACACACACACACACACTCACACACACATAAAGTGAAGGAGAACTCACCGACATTGGCATGCTTCAGGGCTCCTACATCATTTGTACCATCCCCGCACATCAAGGTTGTGAAGCCCTGGTCCTTCAGCGTGGTGATCACCAATTCCTAACCGTCCATGAGGAAACAACACACATCAAAAACATAACGTAATGAAACACAACAGTTAGACCCGGTAAGACAACAGAGATCGAAGGGACCGGAGTACACGCAACAGTTAGACCCAGTAAGACAACAGAGATCGAAGGGACCGCAGTACACGCAACAGTTAGACCCGGTAAAGACAACAGAGATCGAAGGGACCGGAGTACACGCATCCAGCCAGCAAACAGAACATCACGCACATCATTTAGTCAAGTGTTTTCGCGCACACACACGCACACGCACGCACATACACACACACACACACACCCAGTGCACAATGTAAGACCCGCATGCTGGCATTGACAGCTAGAGTAGGCCAAGAGTGTCACAAGACAACACCATCAAGGGACCAGCAGCAACACTAGGCCTGCAGCAGATAGTCAGAGCAGCCCGGATTTCAGCAAATTCCACTCTGATCAGCAGAGTAACAAAACAGCGCATTGCTGTGCAGCTGGAGAGCATTTATTGCGTGCAGCCTGACAGGGTAGAGTGGTGTGAAAGAGGTTGAAACATCAAACCGTTCTTTACCAGTACAGTGTGCATCGTGTAATGCTAAAACTGTGCCTACCTGTGTCTAACTGTGTACACTGATGTGGCAGCACTGTCACTATCACTTGCTTCTTTTCTACATGCTGAGTGTGAACAACATTGTTATTCTTAGTACCAAATGGGTGCACAGTCACCACTAAGTCAAGTCCACAGACTCCTTCCAGGGAAAGCAGAACACCTACATTTGCACCTGTTTTGCACTGTTCATTTCACGCACTCCTGCACACTATAGCATTTTGCGACCAGTTCACAACACCACAATCGTACAAGTGCTTGGTAAAATTACGACCGTCACTAAAATAGCGACTAATTGCTATTTTCCACACGTTGTCACAGGTCACTTTCAGCACTTGTAGCACTACCCAGCACCCAAGCCCAGATACGTACGCATCAACAGCATGCGCCTGCATCACACAGCTAGTACTGCTGGAGAAGCAGCGGCGACGGCTCCCAGGGAAGTGGGTAAGCAAGGTGTCTGTCTATAAAGTGCCATGCCCGTGCAACCTCTAACAGCAAAGGACGTGCAAGGGTGTGAGAAAAATAGGCCTATTCATAGTCATAGAGCCTCTTGTATGGGCAAAAGGCCTATTGACGAGTCTGATAATCCATTAGTTTTGCATTTCCTGTGCATGTGTCAACATGAACAGCTGGTCTGTATTAGCAAACAACATTCTTCAGTACTATTGTACTTCTCAAGAGTCAAGACGTGCAAGTGAATAATGTTGGCTTGGACAAAGGGAAGATGTTCAGTTATTATGAGCAAGAAGAGAAACACGCACCTTTTGCTTGGGTGCCACTCGTGCAAACACAGATACATGCGGCAAGATGTCCTCTAATAGAGTACCCCGCCTGCGGCCTTTCAGAGTCTGGAGGTGAGAAATTGCCTGAACGGAATACAAGAACAATGACATTGAAACGTATCATGGCCATACAAGAGACCGCGCGCAACAAAACACGCGCATGACTTAGATGTTACGGCTTCGAGTAACGGAAGCTCATGTTAACTTTTGACGGTGTTTGCCCAGGAAAGATCTCCACAATCAAAACTACATTCATAGTCATCACCGTGTGTGAAGCACAGCAATTTATGGCACCTGCGTACTGTCATACAATGACCGTGTGCGTGCATGATTGACGAAACCCACTTCTCATAGAAAAACTTGAAAAGTTCCCGCTTTCACGCAAGATTCCTATGAATGGATTTTGAAAATAATTTTGCCCTTGCCTTTTTCCGACCAAAGCTATGGAACTTCATAGTGCACCACCTATCCTGCTGACTGCCAAATGCTTCCTGGATGGGAATGTGAAATCAGTTCTGAACCATTGCTCATTTACGAGAGCCCTCTCATTATTATTCTTGTTTGTTTTCTAGTTTTTCTCCTCAATCCTGATGATGGCTGAGATCTTGTAATTTGCAGCGAAGAGACCACTTGAAGATGGTGTGTGTAAGGTTTTTCATGGTTTTTATTGGCTTGCTGAGACCTTGAACAACTTGTGCTTAGAGTGACACCGGGTTCAGTAAGACTGTACATGTACCGATTTCTACATTTCACAAAGTTTGTTCCAGCAAAGAGCTGTAACAAGAGCAAGCGATGTACCTCCTATAGGACCTCATTTCCGTCATTCAATAGATTTATATCATCACAACTGATCCTTCTCCTACCTGTCAAACAGCAATGCATGCAATGAACTACAACTACAAGAACAGATTGTAAGCACTAGTATCCTCCAGTGGCCATCGCAAGCACTTTGCAATGGCTGCTCGGACTACACATGGCTTATTATAAGCAATACCTATGCATGCTTACAGGGCCAGTCAGACACAACTGGTGTGTGTCCATCAGCTGAGAAATACCCTTGGCAGGCAGCACATCATCAGCAGGTGCCGGTTCTCCACCCAGACCTTGCCACTGCCAGCTGGTATTCTTCTCATCTGCATGATCAGCAAACAAGACATTGTAGACATGGAATCTTGCCCTCTTTGCACTTCGGAACATCATACTGAGGCATGCAAAATAATTCTCAACCACAAATGTTGCTCAATGGTGATTGCACTAAGCATGAAGCGCAGAGTTGCAACGAATTCGCCTTAACCTGTTCCACTGGTGTACTGTGTAACCACAAATCTAACAGCAGCAGCAGCAGCAGTAGCGGCAGTAGTGGCAGCAGCAGCAGTGGCAGTTGCAGCAGCAACGGCAGCAGTCGCGACAGCAGTCGCGACAGCAGTAGCAGCGACAGCAGCAGCAGCAGCAACGGCAGCAGCAGCGACAGCAGCAGCAGCAGCGGCAGTGGCAGCAGCAGAAGTCAGGGTTTGTAAAGCACAGCCAGCACAGTGCACGAATACCTGGACTAGCTTTACTCTACCTGAGGAGGAGGTCTGTTCAACCAATTGCAGCATGGGCCGTGTGACAATGGACAACTGCTGGGCGACATAACATGCTGTCAGTGGATTGTCGCCCGTGATCATGTTGACCTACGGAAGACATACAGACAGAGACAGAGACCACAAACACACATTGACTTCAAGAATTAAAGATGAAGTCAAACACAATTCTGTGACAGGAAGGGCAAGAGAGTCCACATTGTAGATAACACAGAGTACAAGAGACAAATAATTGTTTTAGCATTCACCAGTGGGTACAAGAGTGCTGGTCAATAAATTACGACTTCTCACTTGAGAATGGTGCTACGAGTAGAATGCTGCGCATGTGAACAACTACTGAAATAAGCTGGATTGCACTGCTACAGGGCATAATGGTCTGCTTGGCCACGGGGCACTAGAAAAGCGACAGTGGTCGGCCTTCACTCGCCAGCAAGGCAGGACAGTAACATACGCAACTAGGCACCCATACAGAATCAAGCTATTAGAGTAACAGATAAAAAGTATCTCTTACGTGATGAGAGGATTTTCTAATGGACTTGATAACAGCCTTCGAGTCAGGCTTCAGTGGGCACGACACAACCAGGAATCCACCAAACACCAGGTCACTTTCAGCCTCTTCTCTCTTCATTTCACGAATCTGTACAGCCACACACGCAAGCATGTAGAAAGCACGGAGGTGGCAGTGTTATGAATTAGGGACACGGCCAGGTGACAGTAGCATCTAAATCAGAACACCACAAAACTAAAAAAAAAAGTTGCCATCTTCTTCCTGCAACACACGCGTACTACAGTTATGGACTTTAGGTTATGTTGTGCTGGCATGGTACTGGACTGTACTACACTTAGGTTGCATTTGTTTGGTCATTCTGGAATCGGAATGGAATGCAGTCAGTCACCATCATGGAATCAGAATGAGGGTATCAAACTACTGGTAACCAGTCCTGGGTATCCCTTGTTTAGGGAACACTTGACATTGTCTGGTCGCCAAGGTGATCATGGTGATCCGTAGCTGCGCGTAGGCCCGCGTAGCCGCCTTGCCGGCCTCGGCCCTTTTACCTCGGCAGACCGCACCGGAAAAAAGATGACGACGCTGTTTTGGTGAATATTTTCTTCGCGCTCGACGGTCTGTGCGCCAAATTCAAAAAAAGTCGAAAGCCTTTTCTTCTTTCTCGAGTGATCCTTGGTGATTTTTCAAGCTTCTTCGCAGTGTTCAACACCCAATGGCTCAGGAGAAGAAAAGTCGAAAAAGTGTAGTCACTGGCCTCGTTTCAAGTGACAGCAGGAGAAGAAATTTCCTTTCAAAACGGAAGAATGGACTCCTAAAAAAGGTAAGTTGAATGCACATCGCAATTCTGAACTTGCGCAATTTGTCATGAAGACTTCGCTTCATTTGTGTTCTGCAGGCCGCAGAGTTGCATGTTGGAAGTGGAGCCAAGGTTTTGGTCGTGGTGGTCGCTCCTTCTGGAGTTCGACACACGTACAGCTCGCATCCTGTGGACGAGATTTTGCCCTCAACCAGCTCAAGTGTCACAACAGCAAGAGCTGACCCAGTGGCATGCTCTGCAAGAAGCAGTTCATATCCCACCGCGATGAACACCCCAGATTCCACCACGAGCCCCACTGAAGAATGAAAATAAAATTGGACTGCTGGTCCTTCAAACATCACCTGTTGGATACTTGTTGTGTGCAAACACCATAGTCTGGTATCAATTCACCTCAGAATGTCAACATTGAAATAATAATGTATGCGTCATCAGAAATTGACACTTTCTGGACAACAGAACAATGCTAGTAGTCAACAAACATCACACTGAACCACTATGAATAGGAGCACTGGTTTGCACCACATGTACATGCACCTCAGTGTCTCAAATGGAAATAGAGGAAATAGCCGTGATCATGGTGATAGCCGGGCCATGATGCAGAACCACTTGGGGCCGTCAGATTAATTTTCCTGGACCGAGCCAGCCGGGAAAAAACCCTCGCGCTGACGGACGCAGTAGTGAGGGAAAAAACCGGGTGTATATCCCCAACGGCGACATAGGAGTAACGGATAAGACCACGGCGAGGTAGCCATGACCCTTGTTCGAGGTACAGCGTCTCTGCACTGGAGTCTCCCACTGCTTGAGCCAGCTGCTCAATGAAGTGGAAAGTATATAAATGGAGAAGACATGGTGTCAATAAGAAGTGTAGCGCTCGCACTTGACAATGCAGAGTGTGTGGCATGACGCAAAATGCACATTGAAGAACTACGGAAGCCAGGACCAGCCCTCCCTTGGCGAGTACACCGACTGTGAAGCAGTCTCTGCAAGGAAAGTGCACACACAAAAACAACACAGAAAGCTACTTGAGCAAAATACTGCTCATCCATGCATACTATGGACACAATCAGACTGCATTCGAGCGAGGCAAACATCTTTTCTTTGCATGTTGGAACACTGTACAAGACACATAAAGACACACATGTCTACTAACTGAAATAAATTTATTGCACAGAAAAGTCAATATGAGTGTGTCCGAATGTACCTTTGAATAGACAAAAGCACATAAACCGCACACCAATGGATGAAAGTGGCGAAAGAAATGCAAGGCACAAAGCACTCACCACTCATGGAGGCATATCATCAGCTGCATTGCCGCCGTCAGCCATGCACAAAACCATATCCCGCATCTGGCGCACGACCTTCAACACTGCTGGCTGGGTGGAAGCCTGCTCCAGTTCATCGCACAATGCAGAGGCAGCATTGTTGTCGGGCGCGAGATGTAGTAGCTGCTGGAATTCTTTCCTGAGGGAAGCCATAGTCCGTCTCGTATCACTTCCGTGTTTCTCGGCCTCTTCGGTGGTCAGAAAGTGTGGTGGCTGAGACTGCCTGGACAGCGGATAGGCACCATCTCCAAATAATGTCGCTAGCTGCTTCCGTCTGGCTTTACCCACAGCAGTGAGGTTCACAGCATCCGGCACCAATTCCTCACCAGGACTGAAGGATTGCAGTGGTCTTGAAAACGCTAGCTCACCATTGGGAACCAACATTGTTCTCAGACGCGCACGCCACACCAGAAGTTCCTTAGCATAACCGGGACGGGCTCTCGATTCCGACTTTGGATCTGGCAGCTGTAGGGCACTGAATACTTTGGAGCGGAGCTTCATGAGCTGCTCATGGTTACGGATCACCCGGCGCCACATGTTTGAGTCTTTCTCCCCTGACACCCATGACTTCACATTGGCATTTAGCTCTTCGACGATAGCATCAAGTGCCTGGTGGAGGTCACCCTTTCCTGACCTGCTGAGGAAGAGAGTGCTGTCAATGAGACTTCGCAAATCTGTTGAGAGCGAGAGGCGACGGACTTCCTCGGACATGTCAATCACTTGATATGTTGTGTGATTCCTCGCATGCAGCAATGGAGAGAGAACTCTGCGAGACTCAATGAACAGTGGTACGTCGTTGTGCCGTGCTCCCCGCCGAAGCATGAATAGTGGAAAGCAGTACTGAGTGCACAGCTCCAGCAGCCAGGAATACGTATGATTGTTGGTGAACTGCTTGCACCAAACGAAGAAACCCTCTGCTGAAGGGGTGTTGCTGCCAGATTCCTGGGCGAGTACATATGGCCGCAGAAGTTCGTCAAAGCAGCCATCCGTGAAACGGCTCAGCTCATCGTATGTGCGGTGGTGGTCTTTGGCTTTGAAGGCCCAATCCAATTGCTTAGGAGAAGTATATCCCTGGCTAATAGCGAACTCCTTATAGGCAAATGGCCACAGAGACTTGACAATGCACTGGATGATGTTCATCTCCCAGTGCAAGCCACCTGAAATGGGTAGTACCCAATCAAACTCCCCATCAGGAATGTTTGTTGGGGGCATCAATTCACCCTTCTCAACCAGATCATCTAAAAACTTCCTCAGCCTCTCACGTAACGTACTCATGTTCCCTGTTACACCCAAGCCCCTTGTACTGCATGCACTCTTCAGGTCAGCCTTCGACATTGAGTCGACATGCAATATTCCTGCTTCATGGTTAGCCAATTTGGCTGCATCACGCCTTGCCTCCTCCATCACAGTCAATATGAGGGAGTACGGCAAGCCGTCACACACAACAGTGAGCCATTCCCTCACCCCCTCGTCACCTACACATTGTTTTACCCTTGCACGCTTCCCAACATCGCGCAATACAATGCGAACAGCTTCATGGGAGTTGGGGTTGACAAAAATGGGCTCTAGAAACCCAACATCTGCCGGGGACACAAGGGGCACATCTTCACCACTGGTCTTTGAGGACACTCTGGTTAACGAAACACCGGTACTGCTGTCCACATGCGGTACATACACAAACTCGGTGCCTGACTTTAGTGTGCCTGGCTTGGTGACTTTGATGTGCTCGGTCGACACCACTGATTTGCCTTGGTCAGCTTGCAATGCCTGCCTAACATTTACCCTGCATGTCGCATTGGGACACAAATGCAGCCTGCGCTCCATCTGTGTGCAACATTTAGGGCAGATCAGGTACCGTCTTTCTCGTTCCAATGATGCAAGATGGCTATCAACTGGGTCAGCTGATAGCCTCTGCTCAGACACAAGAGCTTCAATCCTTTTGTTCATGAAACTCAGCAAGTGTGGCTTAATCAAAGATTCTTGATCAAGAGGATCCGGTACCTGATCTATTGCACATTGAATCTCAGTGACAGTTGGAAATTTCCAATTTCGGAAATGGAAATCTCCCTTTTCTTGGGAAGGAACATGGGAATGACGGGCATAGACAACATTGGTCAGAACCTCATACGTGGAACGATTGCTGCCACGGGAGAGGTACGACTTAAGTTGTCGTTGCTCATTGTCAAACCCAACACTCACGAACCCTTCAGGAACTTGCAGCTCGCTACCACCCAACCCAGCCAACCAATCTTTCACGAGCTTATAACTCCCCCCCGACCCTAGGTGACCAAAAATGTCGAGGGTTGTCTTGCTTTGGGTGATGCTGTACACTATCGCCTGGAGCAAAACATGGAATTCTGCACAGTAATTCAAGTTAGCAGCAGCATAGAGAGACTCCATGGCTTGCGCTTGAAGAACTGTGCGGCGGTCGGCAACGGAGAAGTCAAGTGTAAACGTGCTGGAGGTCATGCCCGTCACAAACGTCTCAACAAACTTGTTGTAGGGTTTGTTGCTGAACTGACCCGTCGGGATGGACAGCAAGTTCTGCAATGATCTACTTGACTTTGCTGACTCAACAGCACTCAACACATCTGCTTTGAACTGCGGCTGCTCAGCCACACACAGCCTACGTAGCAAGTCCAAGCGACCTTCCGAGGTGCTCAGAAGCGAACCTACACTTTCCTTTTTCATACTAATTATTTCCTTCTCAAGTAATTCAATTTTGCTATCCTTCTGCAAATGCATCTTCGACAATGCAGCCAACGCACAGTTTTTGGCCACCAACACTCTCTCTAAACGCTTCAAAGAATCAACATTTTCAACATTATCAACATTTTCAACATAATCAACCGGTACTTCGTTTGAGGCTGAGGAGGTTTCTCGGGACTGGCTGAAGACAGGGGGAAAAGAATCATCTACATCATCGCAGGAGCTTACCTCTGGGAGAGCCTGAGGAACATCTTCGCTGGCATCTACCATGTCTACAGAGTCCCCATAGCTATCGCCCCTCCGAGGCTCGTACAGAGGGTGGTTGGTGATTAAATCCTTCAAGTCAGCCAGTCGTCCGCAGCTCCTACAAATTGCAGATACGTCTCGTCCAGAGAGCGCTGACAACACTGCCAGAATACACTTGCGAACCCGAACATCCTTGGAGCTATGCCGAGGCGATTCCCACTCATCGTGGAAGGGATTCTTGCACGCAAACTGGTATTGAGAACCTCCAGAGTGTCTCTTCTTCGTGGATATCTTGCCCATGATGACAAAATGTTGAAAATGCAAAACGGGCTTCTTCTCGTCGCTTCTCTCTCGAGAACGACATGGCAGAGTTCAATTTTTTTTCGGGCAAAACCTCCATAAACCCCTACAGGCCAGGCTAAAACACTGTCCAACCTCCGCACTTTTGGGGTTACCTCCGCAAAGTTACCTAAAGAGGGACTGATATTTCAAGGCAAATCGAAATTGTGCCACATCTCTTTCAATGAGAACAGAGGCCTTCGCAGCGCATCCATCTTCCTCTTTTCGGGCCGCGGGCGCACGGCGGGCGCACGGCGCGATTTGACCGTGCGTACTTGTCAATCTCCATATCAACGCCTGAGTTTTCGTGTAAAAACCGAATGTTCCCTGAACAAGGGATTCCCTCGACTGGTAACGCGGGGCCCCATCCACTAAGGAATCTGGCAAGAGCTTTGCACAACTCCGGAAAAGAAAACCGTATGCGGCGTTGGCTCCTAAGAGTCCTACTACCATACAGACTTTCAACTCTGGCTAATAGAAATTCTCACGTGAACACAGCCTGACTGACTGACCTGTTGAGTGCTGGGCTCCGAGATGTGCTTGTAGCCCAAGGCCAGAACACGCGAACCACACAAGGAGAAGTGCTTGTGGACGGCGTCAAAGTGAGAAGGCAGCTCAGCAAACTAGACCAGTGCAGGGAACGAAGAAAGGACACAGCGTACAGACAGCAATAGAGATCAAGACAAAACAATGCACAGGGTGATGAATACAGAAGATCTGTATGTGCACACACAGTGACATTATCATGCAGTGTTGTTCTATTGATTGAGATATTATCATGCAGGGGAGTCGCACACGCTGCTGCAGTCACTACGGTATTGGCTGCACCACTCTTTGCCCAGGTAACCCGCCCCGGGAATCAATAAAATGCACTGTTATTTGGGCTCTTGATTTTGGGAAAAAAAACTCCAGCGGACCCCCTCACCAGGAGTAAACTCTACGTCTGATGGTTGACCGCACCGCCCTGAAATACCTTGTGACGCCCCATGTGACCTCACCATAGGCATAAGCAGTGAACGTACTGTACTGCACTGTACTACAACTGATACGCATGCTATACAGATGCGCGCAAGACAAATCATATTTAAACACATAAAACCCTTTGAATTTATTGAAATTCCCTACGAGTTTGTTTTCTGAAACTTGGCATGTAACCTACCCTGGGACGTAGCACCTCGGCAGCTCCTTTGACAGTTATCAAGTAGGATGTTCCCATTGTACCCTGGACCTGAGTGGAGACAATTGCCGACATTCTCTTCAGCGTGCTGTTGAAGTGGAAGCGGTGCAGGATGCGAACGGTCTGCTTCTTGCCGTGTCTCGATGCCACCGTATCACCTGATGATCAACGTGCAGCGACGACCAAACAAACACGCACAGCCGTATAGAAAAACGGACATGAGCTCTCAAAAACTGAAGTTCGGAAGAAAATAACTAATGCTGTAAAGTATACAACACCTGCAAAATGGCTCGTAGACAACAAATGTACACAGTGCATTGACCATTGCAAGCTGGTTTGGAAGTACTACAGTCCATTTCAAAACTATAACTTTGTGCATAATTTTTTCCAAATTGGGCGTCTGTTATCCAATCGTTTAGAAACTATAATGAGAGTAAGTGTGGAGCGGTCCTGAGCAATATTCCGAAAACTATTCTCAAAAAGGTCAAGCCAAATTTGAAATATTTCACAAACCCTACGCGTCTATAGTTTTGAAATGGACTGTAGTACAACACATCCCACTGGAGGCGAGATTCGTACCCTTGTTTTGGTCCTAAAGTGGAGTTGTGTAGAGTTTCCACTAACTTTGAGAAAGGCTCCAATACCCGGAAGCTGCTCTGGTCTCAACTTTGACGAGAAAACAAGCATCAGTCAGCTGATAAGATGCATGAAAAAAGTCACAACACAAATATGGTCAGCCGGAAATGAACATTCACGGTATGGCTCCTGCTCACAAAGACGTTGCTGACCACAACACACAGCGGAGAGCAAGGATTACCTTTAGACAAATGCCAGTCAATAGCGGACAGGACAGATTTCTCCAGGGGATCACCGACCATGGCATCTTCGAGTTGAGCTAGTGAGTGGCAAGAAGCTAGCACTTGCTGAGTGGTCGGCTCACAGGAAGCAACTGGCGATAGCTTACTGATGTTCTCACTGTAAGGGTCAGCGGGTGAAAGCAGCACAAACAAATTATGCACACACAGCCACACACAGGCATGCTTGCCCAGCAAGACACTCGCCAGCTGCCATAGTACTTACTGCAACTAACAACCTAGTACATTCTATGCAACAAACAACTATCCCGGCAATGTAGCCTACCCAGCATAGAGGTCAAGCACAACAGAATAAGAACCTTCCCATATATTTTGAAGTACCTCTCACTAGCACAAGTTAATTTAACGATACACCATTATGTATCAATCTCTCTGTCACTGTCTGTCTGTCTGTCCCTTCTAAATTTCTGTATACCTGTCCATGCCAGCAATGCCATCCACGACCAGTTCATCAGAGGTCAGTGTGCCAGTCTTGTCAAAGCAGCAGTAGTCCACCTTGCCAGCAAAGGGGATCCTGAATGGCTCGGTGCAGAATACTCCTGCATGCACGGCGATGGCAACCAAAAAAGAAACGAAGAATTAGGATTAAAAAAATACAAGACAAGCACCAACCGTCCAACTTTGAAATAGCACCAACATTTCCATAGAATTCACCCATAAAGTCTATGATGTCAACACGAAACCCAAGCAAACTGGAGCAGAGCTACGCGGATTTCCCAAAGAGCAGGGGAAAGGAGCCTTTGCGAAATTTCTTATATAAACTCGCACTCAGCACACCGCCCACATAGACATAAGCATCTGCTACAACGCAGTCACAACAGCCACAGCAACAGAAAACAGGGAGCTAAGCAAGCGAATGCAACATAGACTCTGCAGTGCATTGAGTTTAAAAAATGTTTATTTTTCGGGGGGGGGGGGGGAGGGAATGCTGCTATAAGACACTGATATCTCACATCACATCATAACAATGATGAAACAAAATAATAGGAGACAGAGAATAAGGTCCAGGAAGCAAGTTCCAATTAGCGAGTAGCATCAACATCTCCCCTGGTTTTATCAGACTTGTACAGAACTGTCGGTGTACAAGTGCAAGTGCAACTCACCGAGTTTCACGAGGGCTATGAGAGACGTGTTGACAGCCAGCGATAACTCAATAGGCAGTTCTGGAGGCACTACTGATGTCAGGATGAGAGTACACTCCAGGAAGAGCTTGTAACGGTTACGATCAGGATCGGCAGAACCTGAAAAGCACGCCATGAGAAGAAACGACGGGGGTGAAATGTTTGATACAAAGACTGAGAGAAGGATGGACCGAGATAATTTACAAACCACATTGTACATGTTTGTGCATGTACTTCGAAGTATTAAAATACATGCACAAAATAAAGAAGGGGTCGTTCGTAAATATAGAAAAATTAAAAAATCCGTCCTCGTGCAAACTTTTCTCGGACCCACCCACCCACCCACCCACCCACTACACCCTCCATTTTGTCCTATTATTTTTTTGATTGTCCCCATGCCCAGTTAGAATATGAGTACTCCTGACCCCAGATTCACTGGCTGCATGGACTGCATGACTGTACCCGGGTCAAGTAGATCTACTGACGCCCATGTCACATGTGCCTCCTACAACTACACCTTGGTACATGACTGACTTTGTTGGGCGTTTGCAACAATCCATCCTACAGCACAGTGTGCAACAAGTGTATGGAAAATCAAAAAGTTAAATTTTGCGAGCGCTCTTGACCACCCACGGCCACCCCTTTTTGCATGACGGGTTTTTTTATTTTTCGAAAAATTATGGACAGGAAAAAATGGCAGCTGATGATGCGCAGCCTAGAGTCTAAATAATCTGAAGCTCAAGTCAATCTGTTGCAACCCTACCTTGCACCCAAACATACGAAGATGCTGCAACCGCAAAGACCATCAGAAACATGATGAAGGCAAAAGTCTCCAGGTTGTTGGCAGTCACCCGCTTCACGCTGTATAGGATGGTTCTGAGCAGCTTTCCCTGTGCACAAACACACAGTTATGCACGCACACAATCTCAAGCATACAGAGTACAGACAGTATGGTGATGTTGCAGCATAATGCAGGCAGTGCAGGTGCGTAAACACAACAACTTGCACACACACAATGCAGACCACCGGTTTGCACATGTTCAGTACAGTACAAGACAGCACTGGGCACATATCTGAGGATTGCCAAAGCAGATCTCCTTCGATATGTGAAACGATGCATACCAGTTTGCACAAAGTATCTCTTACCTGGGACGTGTGAAATCCAGTACGCAGCACATATCCCAAGCATCCATTGTCAGAAGCTGAGCACAAATAAAGCATGTATAAAAGACAGGAATAAGAACACACAAGAAAGAGAAAAGTACAGTATTTATATGTGAACTGCGTGCAACTTCCTCATCATGATGCCTTCACGAGCTCACAAAGAATATGGATGTTATTAAATAGTATTGCCTTACGTCGAATGCTACCGGAGGACTTGGGCGGTGGGGTGTGCTGCACGACCTTGGTCCCTCCGAAGATCACGTGCAGCCTGCCATGAGTGTTGATGTCAAACACTGGGTTGTCGCTGACACCATCCATCGGCTCCTAAACACCAACAAACACATCGACATACCACCGACCTGCGGGTTTGAGATAGGAGCAATGCTACACTATACAAGTGCCTCAATGCAAAAGTGACAAGTGCTTATTGGCTGAAAGTAGTAAAGTAAATATGAAACGCAGATTGCTGCTGGACTTTGGGGGAGCAGGTGTGAGGGGACAGCTGGCTAAAAGGTTCTGCTGGTGCAGCAGACTGGTCACTGTTTTTATTCCTTGCCAAGAGAATATTACTCATCTTGTAAGCAAGTGAATGCACGTGTGCGCGCGCGCACACACACACACACACACACACATACACGCACACGAGCGCACACACACGCGCACACACACGCGCACACATACACACACACACACACACACGCGCGCGCGCGCACACACACACACATCTATGTAAAGACACACTGACCTTCATCTGTGGCACAGATTCACCCGTCAGCATCGCTTCGTCCACAATACAAGAGCCGCGCATCAGCAGCACATCACACGGAACTACAAAATCTCCAGTTGAGCGGCCTGGCAGAGCACGGTACACAGCATCCAATAAGAAATCAGCAAAATAAGATTGCATGCAATCGAGCAAACTACCAGCTTTACATAATACAATAGGGTGACATAGTGTTACTGATACGCGAACATGCGTGTGCCAAACACTTGAATACTCGTGCCTGTACTTGCACGGGACTTCAGCAAGGGCTTGAAACGGAAAAGAGCTGCTATCCGCGCTAACATGCACATTATGAACAGATTAGCACGGGTCGTCTACAGATGGTCCTTGTGTCCTATCAATTCCGTACCATTGCTTAGCCACTGGTGACCGACTAGAAATGTAGGTGGATACACACGTATTGCTAACTGTATGACATGCATTGACTCCGATCCTCGTGGGGCTGGCACGCATGGCCCTTCTTCAGAGAGTACGCGAGTGCGCAAATGTACCACTCATTGCTCGCCAAACTACACTAAATACTGCGCAGCGGACACCAGACTTCCAGGCGCCAACAGGCACCAACCTATTAGCATTGCACAGGCACCTGTACTCGGCATTCTGACCAGCAAAACCCAGCGTGTAAACTGTGAAAAGGCACATGGCACATGAAGTGGGTGCTTTGTAACACGTCACAAAAGTGCACACGCACACACAAGTACTGGTGGCACATACCAATAGAGAGTAAGTCACCCGGCACAAGCCCATCACTAGAAATGGTTTTCCACTTGCCACCTCGGAAGACCTGGACAAAAAAACAACGACGACGACAACAACAACAGCAGCAGCAGCAGCAGCAGAAGTGTCAACGAATACCAACATCAACAACAGGATTCACACAGCAACGTTAGTAAAGTGCTCGTGTCCATTCAAATCACTGACTTGACGGCTATAGAAAAGAAAGGCAGCGCATTGCAAAAAAAGCAGCCAACTAGCCACGCTGGCATATCTTTAAAATTAACGCGATGCTGCCCGCACAGTCTATGCTACATGCAAACAGCAGTCACAGCACGCCAGCTCAGGTGATGCTAATCTCCAAAGGTAAGAATAAGAAGCAGGCAAGATACAACATAATTATACTAGCAACCCGGACTGTTCGTTCTGCTTGAGAAGTGAGCTGCGCGAAAACAAGGTCCAAAATCCATGTACAAATCTGAACAACAGCCGGTCCACGGATGCTCTCTCGCTCATTAGTGCCAAGATTGATGTCAAGCAAACCGGCCGTCTGACTGGCAGAGGTCTCAGACCCCGATAGATGTCCATATCTATAAGGTAACGTGTGTGTTTGGGTGCAGTCTGACGATTTATTGACTTCAAGACTTGCAGGCAATCCATGGCGCTGCACTGGAGAGGGTAGCGATGCGCAAAACCAGAGGTATATTTTATAGCGGGCAGCCACAACGTAACGTTGAGGACAAGAACGGGGACCACATTTGCACACGTACGAAGTAATGCTCATGAGGTTCAGGCCAGGCGCCTGCAGAAAGCCCACACTGGCTACAGAGTTAGAAGGCAATTCAAGAAGACTGAAGTGTCTACAAGATGAAAAGAGAACGTGGGTCTGCTGCCATGGTGTGGCTCGCTGACATGGTGTGGCTCTGCTGACATGGTGTGGCTCTGCTGACATGGTGTGGCTCGCTGGTCTGCTGACATGGTGTGGCTCGCTGGTCTGCTGACATGGTGTGGCTCGCTGGTCTGCTGACATGATGTGGCTCGCTGGTCTGCTGACATGGTGTGGCTCGCTGACCTGGTATAGCTCCTTGCACTAAAGGAACGCTTTTCAGAATGCAAGTTTCTTCTCCAAAAGCATGGGCCAGCATCCAGCTCTCGGTGTAACTCCGATTATGCTTGCTCGTTATTACTGATTCTGGCAAGCTGTGTGTCGTCTGGATATGCAGGTGTCTGCCACGGTTAAGTCTTCTTTTCCTTCGTCCATCCTTTCATTTCCCAGACAACGCACGAGCAAGACCAAGTTGAATGCAATTAGGAAAGAAGATTCACGAAGATATACCCCACTGATTCCGGCAAGCTGTGTGTCGTCTGGATATGCAGTTGTTCGCAACGGTTAAGTCTTCTTTTCCTTCATCCATCCTTTCATTTTCCAGACAACGCATGAGCAAGACCAAGTTGAATGCAATTAGGAAAGAAGATTCACGAAGATATACCCCACTGATTCTGGCAAGCTGTGTGTCGTCTGGATATGCAGTTGTTTGCAACGGTTAAGTCTTCTTTTCCTTCATCTATCCTTTCATTTTCCAGACAACGCACGAGCAAGACCAAGTTGAATGCAATTAGGGAAGAAGATTACCGAAGATATACCCCACTGATTCTGGCAAGCTGTGTGTCGTCTGGATATGCAGTTGTTCGCAACGGCTAAGTTTTATTTTCCTTTGTCCATCCTTTCATTTTCCAGACAACGCACGAGCAAGACTTAGCTGAATGCAATTAGGGAAGAAGATTCACGAAGATATACCCCACTGATTCTGGCAAGCTGTGTGTCGTCTGGATATGCAGTTGTTCGCAACGGTTAAGTCTTCTTTTCCTTCATCTATCCTTTCATTTCCCAGACAACGCACGAGCAAGACCAAGTTGAATGCAATTAGGGAAGAAGATTACCGAAGATATACCCCACTGATTCTGGCAAGCTGTGTGTCGTCTGGATATGCAGTTGTTCGCAACGGCTAAGTCTTATTTTCCTTTGTCCATCCTTTCATTTTCCAGACAACGCACGAGCAAGACTTAGCTGAATGCAATTAGGGAAGAAGATTCACGAAGATATACCCCACTGATTCTGGCAAGCTGTGTGTCGTCTGGATATGCAGTTGTTCGCAAGGGTAAGTCTTCTTTTCCTTCATTCGTACTTTCACTTTCCAGACAACGTACAGGCAAGACCAAGCTGAATGCAGTTAGGAAAGAAGATTATCGAAGATGCAATCGGCTGCTTCTGACAAGCTGTGTGCCCTCTGGAAGTGCAGTTGTTCGCCACGGTCAACGGTCCTTTTCTGCTTCGTTCGTCCTTTCATCTTCCTGGCCACGGATATAGTACAAACGGCTCTCATGTTCAGGCCAGTTGTTACGTACCTGCCCGTGCACATAACAGAAGGCAGCGTTTGTGATGCAGCCACTGGCATCATTGAACTGCCTTCTAGGACCGTGGGAATCGGTGTGTTTTGACCTCTGCTCTAGTTTTCCTTTGCTGGATCTGAGGTACGGAGTAAGTTACCTGTAAGCCTACTTTTTTCGTCAATGGCACAGGTTGCAGTTTGCAGCATGGATATGGGGAATGGCACTGCGCAGCATGCAACTAACTTGCATGGGAAAATACTCAGAACTCCGCAATTCACAATACCAGCAGGGGCAAACACTGCCATTAACCCTCATCCACTCACTAATTTATAGACAATTCAAGTTCTCCGCCCACACACCGCCCATACCCGTAGTATTTGTTCATAACTGGGGTTACCGTGTCCAAATAGGATAATGTCGGACTTTTTTTGGAGAGCTGCTCACCTAAAGGGGGCATTTGAATTTTCTCTAGCATCTCGTGGATTTCGTTGACAGATGCGTTAAGCCCATGGATCCTTCCATGAGTGACATGCGAATTGTAACTATTATTATAATTAACGCAATAAATAGAGTAAGCTGTGCACTCAGTACAAACACCATTAGCAAATCTTGTTTTCATGTATAGTATCTTGTTCCTTGAACGTTTTAATTTTGATTTGCCAGTAATCCTTCTGATGAGATGGCCACGAAAACGTTCAAGGAACAAGATACTATACATGAAAACAAGTGTTGCTAATGGTGGTTGTACTGAGTGCACAGCTTACTCCATTTATTGCGTTAATTACATTTTTATCTCCACGTAAGCTTTTTAATTATTATTATTATTATTATTATTCAAAGGATCAGTCGGGGAAGTGAACTGCCTGAAAAGAGAAAAAAAACGCCAGACCCACCAGGACTCGAACCTGGGACCCTGCTTGTCATGAGCAATGCTCTAACCACTGAGCTATGGGACCAGGCTGAACCTAGAAACCTAGTTTTTTTTTTTCTCTTTTCAGGCAGTTCACTTCCCCGACTGATCCTTTGAATTTGAAGTTCTCCCATCCTTTCCAAATTATTATTATTATTATTATTATTATATCTCGGAGAAATATATTATCCAGGAAGTCGAAGAAACTGGAATAAGTTAGGGACAGGTCTCGAAGAATTCAGAGATCTTTCGCACATGCACAGCGCCAAAGGGGCCGGGATCTTGAGTGCCTCAAGTGTAGTACACATGTGTAGCACCAAAGGCCACTCACGATCTTGACTTGAGTGACTTGAATGCAGTACACATGCGTAGCACCACGCGGGACCACTCACGATCTTGACTTGAGTGACTCGAATGCAGTACACATGCGTAGCACCAAAGGGGCCACTCACGATCTTGACTTGAGTGGCTCCAATGCAGTACACATGCGTAGCACCAAAGGGGCCACTCACGATCTTGACTTGAGTGACTCCAATGCAGTACACATGCGTAGCACCAAAGGGGGCACTCACGATCTTGACTTGAGAGACTGGAATGCAGTACGCACTGTGCGCAAGGGGAAAGGGGTAAGCCGTGCGCTCACGATCCAACAC